TTAAAAATTAAAAAATAAAATTAAATTAAAAAGCCCAATAAAAAAAAACCAAAACCCAATATATTCATATGTTGTAAATAAACTCATAGAATTTTTTTTTAAATAAAGAAACCCCCCCCCAAAAAAGCGCACATGTTTCAAGGCCACCAGCTACTTTGCAGGAGAAGGCTATAACGGGGCAGGAGGCGGGAGAAGCCAACCACAAGCCTCTAAAACTACTATTCTTCTTCTAAGGAGCTCTGGTAGTGGCCTAGTGGTAATGGTTTGTGCTCCCAACCCAGAGTCATACAGTAAAAATCCACCAGCTGCTCCAAAGAAGTCAGATGGGCAATCTCCTTTCATTTAAAGCCTCTGAAAACCCACTGGAGAATTAGCTATGAGTCAGTTCTGACTCCAGGGCACTTACAATAGTCTCTTTCTAGGAGATTTCACCACCTGTTTGAGAACAAACTGAACTAGGTAAATCCTGCTGTCAGAGACCTCTCCAGAGTACTGAGAAGCAACGATGTCAGTCTAGAGATTAAGGTGTGCCTGATCCAGTCCATGGTCTTTATAGTCACTTGCTATGGATGAGAGAGCTGGACACTGACTAAGGACGACAGAAGAATTGATGACTTTGAGTTGTGATGCTGGAGAAGAGTCCTTTTCATGGACTACCAAGAGAACAAATAGGTCTGTCTTAGAGAGGGTGAAACCAAGTTTTTCCTTGGAGACTAGAATTTTGAAGCTCCATTTCACATACTTTGGGCATGTGTCCAAGAGGGGCCAATCCACGGAGCAGGACATCATGCTCAGAAGGGTGGAGGGACATTGCAGGAGAGGAAGACCCCAGATGAGATGGATTGATACAGTAACTGGGGCAATGGGAGTAGGTGTGTCAGAGTCAGTGAGTGAGACTGGCTCCCGATAGGGCAGACTTCAGAACAGACAACTTGACGGCACATAACAACAATACAAAGAAAGCACTGCTGTGTCCTTTACTGAGAAATACATTAAAAATCATAACAACAACAGGCCTGAATTAGTATGGCAAATAATATTACGTCTTGTAACACATTCTCCTCTCCTGATTCTTCTCCCCTTTTCCCAAACAATAAATGTGCTTTTGTCTATTTACAGGTCTGGAGAAACTGAAAAGCTGTGCATCCTTTGTGAATGTGGACCTCTCCCTGGTGGTTGAGTGCATGGACCACGCTTTAACAAGTCTCTTCCCTAAGACACGTTATGTTGCTGGGAAAGATGCTAAGACTTTCTGGATCCCTCTGTCTCACATGCCAGCCGTTTTGCAAGACTTTTTATTATTGAGCCGGAAAGTAAAGCCGGCTAATCCCAAAACAGTGTGACTCAGCTGACCACACAAATGCTTGCTCCAGGCTATGAGATCAACTGATTTCAAAGGCATAGCTCCTTTTTAATCCTAACTGGCTTCAGCATGGACTCATTTACAAGATTATGTTATTTTGATAAATAAAGGAACCTCACCAGCAGTAGTGATACCCCAGAGTCCTTTCTCAACTTTCTTTGAAAAGGAGGAAAGGGATACCATGTCACAGGGGCAAGACCTACCCAGTGTTTAGGCTTTGTCAGCTTGGTATGATGTAAGGGAAATTGGAAGTGTTTCCCTTCCAAAATGACCTTCACCTCCATCACATCCCACTTATAACCTTTATCATGTACAACAACCCCATAAATACTTGTCTCTTATAAAATATTAAGATATTAAATAAAGTACTTTTATAAAATAGATGAGACACACTTGGCTATTTTGCCAAAAATAATACTCTAAAGGAACAAAACACTGCTCTAGGAAGTTCTGAAGAGGGCAGGAAAAGCGTTAGGAGACATAGGTACAAGTCAAGGGGTAGTAGAAAAATGCTAGGTGGGACTGCAAGTCGGAGGGGAGGAAAAGAGGAGAAGGAATGAAGGGCCAATAGAAAGAAATGGTTATATAAAAGTAGAGGAAGAGAGACATTAAGGCAAGCCCTATACTTTATAGGGAGCTGTGGAGGACAAATGTCTTATTCAGGGTCACCGTAAACACTGATGCAGGCACAGACGTCTGTAAAAAGATAGGAATCACGATAGAATAACAATAACAGGATAGCAACCATTCCAAGGAAGGAAAAAAACATATGGAGTCACCTAGTAGGTAGACACACTCCCAACCCAAAGATACAGAGTTTGAATCCACCAGCTGCTCCATGGGAGACGGATGGGTAATCTCCTGTGCAATTAATTGTCTCTGAATACGCACTGGGGGCTCAGCTACGGGTCAGTTCAGACTCAGCAGTACACAACAACAAGAGAAATGTGGAACTCTGATGGCATAATCCAAAAGATGTCGCACTCAAAAGTGGCACCTCTTTGGCAATTCAAATTGATCTGCATCTCCAATGGGAAAATATGAGCAATATCCTGCCGTGCAATTTATAGCCTATGAAGATGGGTCAGCTATGAGTTGGTTCTAATTTAATGGCAATGAGTTTGAGTTTTGAGAAGAGAGCTTTGTAACATTAGACTAAAGCCATAAGGCTAAGGGTTAAAGGTCACCTGAGCACATCTGAGGAGCTTTCCTGGCAGAAGAATTGTATCTTTTTTCCTACCTGAATTGTAACCTGCTAATTTCCCTAATAAATTACATGATCATGAGTATTGTCTGTGAGTTCTGTGTAGCCATCACGACATATTCACAAGTCCAGTAGCAAAGCAGAGAGAACCTTGGGAGACTGGTTGGTTTTAGGATGGCTAAACCCCATGCTTGCAAAATGAGAGAGAGGATGATGCTGGGTTCTGCTATAGTTCCTAAAAAGGTAAACCTTGGATTCAGCCACATTGTGAAAACAATGCAGACACGATATTTAAGAATCAGTTCAAAGCATGTTAATGGTGTAATACAACTGCCTTCCCAGTGGGAAAAAAGAAAGTAAATGCTGCTTTGGTCCTGATGGTCTGCATTTGAAAGTTGCATCTCATACCATGGAGGTGATGACCATGTTTGCTCTTTACTTTTGAGAATCCCATCTCCTAAAGCTGTAGGAAGAAAAGAGTGACCAGGCGATTAAGGCTATTTGGGAGCTCAGACTATATGAGGAAGTGACTCTGCTCTTATCTACATGGAAGAAGAGCCTAAGGGGAGATGGGCATCCTAGTGAGACCGAAATGGAGCTCTGAGCAGCACAGACTGGCAGGCAGCTTACAGTTGATAGACTAGTACAGATAGGACTGTTCTTGAGGCAAAGATGCTGGAGACAGGATTCGAGCAATGGGAGGTCAGTACTACTGCCTAGATTGGCCTCTGTCCTGCTGTTGTTAGGTTCCCCCTATTGTTGTTGTTGTTGTTGTTGCTGTTGTTGTTGTTGTTGTTGTTAAGCGCTGTCGAGTCGGAGGTGACTCATAGTTACCCTATGAATGAAAGACCTGGGCACTGGTCTAACTTTTGTCCTTTCTCCAGGTTCATAGGGTTCCCAAAGGCAAGCTATAGTGGCTTCTTCACAGAACAATCCTGCGCCATCCCCTCAGTCCCTGCTGTGCCTAAGCCCGCTGTGCCAATCTGTCTCATTGATGGTCTTCCTTGTTTCACTGACCTTCTACTTCTCGAAGTATGATGTCTTTTTCCAAAGAGCGGCCTCTCCTTATATCAGGCCCAAAGTATGTGAGATGAAGTCTCACTATACTTGCTTCTCAGAGCTCTCTGGCTTCATTTCTTCCAAAACAGGTTTGCTCTTTTTAACGGCCTGTGATATGGTCAACAGTCTTTACCAACACCACAATTTATAGGCATCAATTCTTCAGAATCCCTTATTCATTATTCAACCTTCACACACACACACACACACACACACACACACACACACACACACACACACACACGAGATATGTATAGTTGTTAAATGCCGCTGAGTTGTAGGCAACTCATAGCAACCCTATGAACTTTCGTTTTTCCAAGTTCATAGAGTTTCCAGAGGCAAGCTATTCCAGAAATGGATACCACTTCTGCTTCCAAGCTTCTTTTAATTGGGGAGCTCAGGCAAATACTGTCCACCATGGGTGATCAATATCACATCTGGCTCATGAGTGTCCCAGGGTTCAGCATCACAGCCACCACGAGTTACCTCTGTACAGCAATGCACAGACCAATGTATACCTCATAGAAGAATGTTTGGAAAAAAAAACAATTAAAACAATCCTGAGGGCTGCAGATTAAAATCACCCACCTTCGGCTTGGTAGTATCACTTTCTGTCCACGTGTGTGTGTGTGTGTGTGTGTGTGTGTGTGTGTGTGTGTGTTTGGAAACAAGAGTGGCATCCACTTCTTAAATAACATGCCTCTGGAAGGTTCATGGAATATTCAGTACATTCTTCCAATACCACAGTGCAAAGGTATTCCTCTTTGGTATTCCTTATCCATTACCAAACTTTCAGATGCATAGGAAGCAGTTGAAAATACTATGGTTTGGACCAAAAACACTTTGGTTTTTAAACTGATATTCTTGCTCTTTAACATTTTGGAGATGTGCTTGACAACACATTTTTGCAAAGAAATGCATCTTTTGATTTCTGGATTTCTGTTACCATTTGTGTTGACTGTGGAGTCAAGTGAAATGAAATTATTGAGAGAGTCAATCTTTTCTCCATCTGTCATGAGAATTGTCTGTTGGTCCAATGGTGAGGAATTTTGTTATCTTGATGTTGACATGTCCGATGTTGTGAGTCTATTGTGAAAAAAAAAATGGTTTCTTAGGCTGTTGTTCCTTGACTTTACCACCTGGCTAAGCAGGAACATGCACATAGAGCCTGTTAGTCTATCCATACGGGGGGTTGGTTAGTTTTACCATTCTACCAGATTTAAACTGAGTAAGTTCAGTGACAGAAATTTGAGACTCCCACCATCAGTAAAGAAGCTGAGAATTCAGAGAGTGTCCTTCAGGGCCAGAGATTCTTGTATCACTCAGACCTACAGGAGAGCAACAGCAGCCACAGCAAAGAAAAAGGGACCTGATCCAAGATGGCGGCGGAGGCAGAGACAGCGTGGTGAGCCGCAGGAGCAGCGAACCACTTAAAGCAGGGCCATTACGGCCTTCCACAGACTTCGGCATATTGATAATTGAACACTTAAACAGTTGATGACTGGCCCTCAGTGAAGATCGAGGCTCAACAACAGGAATTCAAGGATTCCCAAGGAGAAATGGGTGAGTCTCATGGCTCCCAACCACCCCACCCCACCCCCTGCAGAGCACAGTCACTGCAGCTCCATGAGGCTTCCACAGCCGGAACGAATGGATTCCCTCACCCAGGATGGATGCTGGGCACCGGCCCTCCTCAAAACTGGTACAGCGAAGCCACCACACTGCCACAAGGTGGACTTGTTCTGGAGAGAATTATTGGAGCCAGGATGGCGGCTGTGGGGGAAGATGGAGACCGCTGGCCACCCGCACAAGAGGGGCCGTGTGCACACCGAGCGCGGCGGGCTGGGGTGGTGCGCCCCCAGCAGCTGCTTGTGCTTTGAGGGGGGCCGCTCACCTCCCGCTAGCCTCCCACGCTGTGGGGGGGCGTGCACCCCGCTGGCCACATGCATAGGAAGTGGGGGATGGGATGCATGCC